TTCCACCAACAGGGCCAGCCACACCCCTCACTAAGCAAGGGACCAGCCACCACTCTCATTAAACAGGGACCAGCCACCATCCTCAATAAACAGGGAACAGCCGCCACCCTCACTAAACAGGGACCAGCCACCACTCTCACTTACCAGGAACCAGCTAACATCAACACTAAACAGGGACCAGCCACCACCATCAATAAACAGTGACCAGCCACCACCCTCAATAAACAGGGACCGGCCACCACCCTCACTTAACAGGGACCAGCCACCACCATCAATAAATAGGGACCAACCACAACCCTCACTAAATAGGGACCTGACACCACCCTCACTAAACAAGGACCAGCCACCATCCTCACTAAACTGGACCCAGCCAGCACCCTCACTAAAGAGGGACAGCCACCACCCTCACTAAACTGGACCCAGTCACCACCCTTACTAAACAGGGAACAGTGAACAGCCACCACCCCCAATAAACAGGGACCGGCTACCACCCTCACTTAACAGGGACCAGTCAACACCATCAATAAACAGGGACCAACCACAACCCTCACTAATTAGGGACCAGACACCATCCTCAATACACAGGGACCAGCCTCCACCCTCACTAAACAGGGACCAGCCACCACTCTCACTTACCAGGAACAAGCTAACATCCTCACTAAACAGGGACCAGATACCACCCTTACTTTACAGGAACCAGCCACTAACCTCACCTAACAGGAACCAGCCACAACCCTCAAATAAACAGGGACCAGCCATCACCCTCACCTAACAGGAACCAGCCACCACCGTCACTAAATAGGGACCAGCCACCACCCTCAATAAACGGGGACCAGCCACCACCCTCAATAAATAGGGACCACCCAACCACACTCACCGCGCAAGTATCACCCTACACTCACCAGGAGGAACTAGCAACCACCCTCATCAGGCATGGACCAGCAACTACTCTCACCGGTCAGGGACCAGCCACCACCCTCACCAGACAAGGGCCAGCCACCACCCTCACCAGGCAAGAACCAGCCACCACCCACACCAAGCAAGGACAAGCCACAACACTCACCAGGCAGGGACCATCCACAACACTCACTGGGTTAGGGACCAGCCAAATCAAACACCAGGCAGGGAACAACCACAACACTCACCTAGCAGGGACCAGCTACCACCCATACCATGCAAAGACATGTCATTACCCTCACAAGGTACGGACCAGCTATTTCCCTCACCAGGCAAGGAGTAGCCATCACCCTCACTAAACAGGGACCAGCAACCACCCTCGCCCGACAGGAACCAGTCACCATCCTCACTAAACAGGGACCAGCCATCACCCCCACCCGACAGGGACCAGCCACCATCCTCACTAAACAGGGACCAGCCACCATCCTCACTAAACTGGGACGAGCCTCCACCCTCACCTACAAGGACGAGCCACCGCCCTCATTAAACTGGGACCAGCCACCATCCTCACTCAACAGGGACCAGCCACCATCCTCACTAAACTGGACCCAGCCACCACCCTTACTAAAACAGACAGCCACCATCTCCTCACTAAATAGGACCAGCCACCACTCACTAAAACAGGACCAGCTACCACTTTCACTAAACAGGGACTAGCCACTTATCCTCTAGACCAAATAGACCAGCAACCATCTCCTCACTAAACAGGAACCAAAGCCACTGAATTCTCACTTCAAACAGGAACCAGCCACTCAATTCTCACTAAACAGGGCCCAGCTACCACTCCCTCACTAAACAGGGGACCAGCCACCATCTCTCACTAAATTGGGACCAGCAACCATCTCACTAAATAGGATGAGTCACTCACTCTAAACAGGGAATTAGCTAATTACCTCACTTGCAATGGGACGAAGCATTCTCCTATTTCAAAAACAGGGACAGCCACCATCTCACTAAACAGGGACCAGCCACCTCTCATTGTAAAATGGACGGGCCACCACCCTCACAAACAGGACGAGCTACCACCTCAAGAAATTAAAATGAGGGACCACACCACCTCACTAAAATGGGACGGGCCACCTCCCTTACCAAACTGGGAGGCCACCATCCTCACTTCAAACAGGGACCAGCCACTTCATCAATAAACAGTGACCAGCCACCACTCACTAAAGAGGGGCCAGCCACCACCACTAAACAGGACCAGCCACCACTTCCTTACTAAAGGTGGTCAAGCAATCACCATCACAAACAGTACCAACCACCTCACTTCACTAAACAGGGGCCAGCCACTCACCTCACACTAACAGGGACCAGCCACCACTCTCATTAAACAGGGACCAGCCACCATCCTCAATAAACAGGGAACAGCCGCCACCCTCACTAAACAGGGACCAGCCACCACTCTCACTTACCAGGAACCAGGTAACATCAACACTAAGCAGGGACCAGCCACCACCATCAACAAACAGTGACCAGCCACCACCCTCAATAAACAGGGACCGGCCACCACCCTCACTTAACAGGGACCAGCCACCACCATCAATAAACAGGGACCAACCACAACCCTCACTAAATAGGGACCTGACACCACCCTCACTAAACAAGGACCAGCCACCATCCTCACTAAACAAGGACCAGCCACCACCATCAATAAACAGTGAACAGCCACCACCCCCAATAAACAGGGACCGGCTACCACCCTCACTTAACAGGGACCAGTCAACACCATCAATAAACAGGGACCAACCACAACCCTCACAAATTAGGGACCAGACACCATCCTCAATACACAGGGACCAGCCTCCACCCTCACTAAACAGGGACCAGCCACCACTCTCACTTACCAGGAACAAGTTAACATCCTCACTAAACAGGGACCAGCTACCACCCTTACTTAACAGGAACAAGCCACTAACCTCACCTAACAGGAACCAGCCACAACCCTCAAATAAACAGGGACCAGCCATCACCCTCACCTAACAGGAATCAGCCACCACCCTCACTAAATAGGGACCAGCCACCACCCTCAATAAACGGGGACCAGCCACCACCCTCAATAAATAGGGACCACCCAACCACCCTCACCGGGCAAGTATCACCCTACACTCACCAGGAGGAACTAGCAACCACCCTCATCAGGCATGGACCAGCAACTACTCTCACCGGTCAGGGACCAGCCACCACCCTCACCAGACAAGGACCAGCCACCACCCTCACCAGGCAAGACCAGCCACCACCCACACCAAGCAAGGACAAGCCACAACACTCACCAGACAGGGACCATCCACAACACTCACTGGGCAGGGACCAGCCAAAACAAACACCAGGCAGGGAACAACCACAACACTCACCTAGCAAGGACCAGCTACCACCCTTACCAGGCAAAGACCAGTCATTACCCTCACAAGGTACGGACCAGCTATTTCCCTCATCAGGCAAGGAGTAGCCATCACCCTCACTAAACAGGGACCAGCAACCACCCTCGCCAGACAGGAACCAGTCACCATCCTCACTAAACAGGGACCAGCCATCACCCCCACCCGACAGGGACCAGCCACCATCCTCACTAAACAGGGACCAGCCACCACCCTCACTAAACTGGGACGAGCCTCCACCCTCACCTACAGGATGAGCCACCACCTCATTAAACTGGGACCAGCCCCATCCCACTTAACAGGGACCAGCTGCAATTAATGTCACCAATAGGGACCAGGCCACCATCCTCACTAAACTGGAACCAGCCACCACCTTACTAAAACATGTGGGACCAGCCACCATCCTCACTAAACAGGAATTTGAAGCACCACCCTCACTAAATAGGGACCAGCCACCACTCTCACTAAACAGGGACTAGCCACCATCCTGACTAAATTGGGACCAGCAACCATCCTCACTAAACAGGAACCAGCCACCACCCTTACTAATCAGGGAAAGCCACCATCCTCACTAAACAGAGACCAGCCACCACCCTCACTAAACAAGGAGCAGCACACATCCTCACTAAACAGGTACCAGCTACCACCTTCACTAAACATGTATCAGAAACCAAGCTCACCAGGCAAGGACCAGCCACCACCCTCACCAGGCAGGAAGCAGCCAAAACACCTGTCAGGTAGGGACCACCAACCACCCTCACCAGGCAAGAATCACCCTACACTAACCAAGAGGAACTAGCAACCACCCTCATCAGGCATGGATCAGCGACTACTCTCACCGGTCAGGGACCAGCCACCACCCTCACCAGACAAAGACCAGCCACCACCCTTACCAGGCAGGGACCAGTCATTACCCTCACCAGGTAAGGACCAGCTATTTCCCTCACCAGGCAAGGAGCAGCCACCCCCCTCACCCGACAGGAACTAGTCACCATCCTCACTAAACAGGGACCAGCCATCACCCCTACCCGACAGGGACCAGCCACCATCATCACTAAACAGGGACCAGCCAACACCCTCACTAAACAGGGACGAGCCACCACCTCAAACAGGGACGAGCCACCACCCTCACCACTACAGCAAACAGGGACAGCCACCACCTCACTAAACAGGACCAGCCACCATCCTCACTAAACTGGACCCAGCCACCACCCTACTAAACAGGGACAGAAACAATCACACTAAACAGGGACCAGCCACAACCCTCACTAAAAGGACGAGCTACCACCCTCACAAACAGGGACGAGCCACCACCCTCACTAAACAGGGACCAGCCACCATCTTCACTAAACAGGGACCACCCACCATCTTCACTAAATAGGAACCAGCCACCACCCTCACTAAACAGGGACAGCCACCACCCCACTAAACAGGGACCAGCCACCATCCTCACTAAACCAGGACCAGCCACCATCTTCACTAAATAGGGACCAGCCACCACCCTCACTAAACAGGGACAGCCACCACCCTCACTAAACAGGACCAGCCATCATTGTCACTAAACCGACCCAGCCACCACCTTACTAAACAGGACAGCCACCACCCTCTCCTAAAACAGGGACAGCCACCACCCTCACTAAACAGGGACAGCCACCACCCTCACTAAACATGGACGAGCCACCACCACTAAACATGGACCAGCCACCATCTTCACTAAACAGGGACCAGCCAGCACCATCACTAAACATGGACCAACCACCATCTTCACTAAACAGGACCAGCCACAACCTCACTAAACGTGGACCAGCCACCATCTTCACTAAACAGGGACCAGCCAGCACCCTCACTAAACATGGACCAGCCACCATCCTCACTAAACAGGGACCAGCCACAACCCTCACTAAACATGGACTAGCCACCATCTTCACTAAACAGGACCAGCCAGCACCCTCACTAAACATGGACCAGCCACCATCTTCACTAAACAGGACCAGCCAGCACCCTCTCTAAACATGGACCAGCCACCATCTTCACAAACAGGACGAGCCACCACCCTCACTAAACAGGGACCAGCCACCATCTTCATTAAATTGGGACCAGCCACCACCCTCACTAAACAGGACAGACACCTCACTCAACCCCAGCCACCATCTTCACTAAACATGGAGCCAGCTCACTAAACATGGACCAGCCACCATCTTCACTAAACAGGGACCAGCCAGCACCATCACTAAACATGGACCAGCCACCATCCTCACTAAACAGGGACCAGCCACAACCCTCACTAAACATGGACCAGCCACCATCTTCACTAAACAGGACCAGCCAGCACCCTCACTAAACATGGACCAGCCACCATCCTCACTAAACAGGACCAGCCACAACCCTCACTAAACATGGACTAGCCACCATCTTCACTAAACAGGGACCAGCCAGCACCTCACTAAACATGGACCAGCCACCATCTTCACTAAACAGGACCAGCCAGCACCCTCACTAAACATGGACCAGCCACCACCATCACAAACAGGGACGAGCCACCACCCTCACTAAACAGGGACCAGCCACCATCTTCACTAAACAGGGACCAGCCACCACCCTCACTAAACAGGGACCACCCACCATCTTCACTAAATAGGACCAGCCACCACCCTCACTAAACAGGGACAGCCACCACCTCAGTAAACATGGACGAGCCACCACCTCACTAAACATGGACCAGCCAGCACCCTCACTAAAGAGGGACAGCCACCAATTCACTAAACTGGACCCAGTCACCACCCTTACTAAACAGGGACAGCCACCATCCTCACTAAACAGGAACCAGCCACAACCCTCACTAAACAGGGACGAGCCACCACCTTCACTAAACATTGACGAGCCACCACCCTCAATAAACAGGGACAAGCCACCATCCTCACTAAACTGGGCCCAGCCACCACCCTCACTAAACAGGGACAGCCACCACCCTCAATAAACAGGGACAAGCCACCATCCTCACTAAACTGGGCCCAGCCACCACCCTCACTAAACAGGGACAGCCACCACCCTCACTAAACAGGACCAGTCACCACCCTCACTAAACAGGGAACTGCCACAACCCTCACTAACCAGGACGAGCCACCACCTTCACTAAACATTGACGAGCCACCACCCTCAATAAACAGGGACAAGCCACCATCCTCACTAAACTGGGCCCAGCCACCACCCTCACTAAACAGGACAGCCACCACCCTCACTAAACAGGACCAGTCACCACCTCACTAAACAGGGACCCTCACTAAACAGGGACCAGCCACAGCCACTCACTAAACAGAAACCAGCCACCCCCCTCACTTAACAGGGGCCAGCCACCACCCTTACTAAATAGGGAGCAGCCACCTCCCTCACCAAACAGGGACCAGCCACCACACTCACCAAACAGGGACCAGCCAACATCCTCACTAAACTGGAAACAGCTACCATCCTCACTTAACAGGGACCAGCCACCACCCTCACTAAACAAGGACCAGCCAACATCCTCACTAAACTGGAGACAGCTACCATCCTCACTTAACAGGGACCAGCCACCACCCTTACTTAACAGGAACCAGCCACCACCCTCACTTAACAGGAGCCAGCTACCATCCTCATTTAATAGGGACCAGCCACCACCCTTACTTAACAGGAACCAGCTACCATCCTCACTTAACACGAACTAGCTACCATCATCACTAAACAAGGACTAGCTACCACCATCACTTAACAGGAACCACCCACCACCTTCACGTAACAGGAACCAGCCACTACCCTCACTAAATAGGGACCAGCCACCACCCTCACTAAACAGGGCCCAGCCACCACTCTCACTAAACAGGGACCAGCCACCATCCTCACTAAATTGGGACCAGCAACCATCATCACTAAACAGGAACCAGCCACCACCCTCACTAAACAGGGATGAGTCACCACCTCACTAAACAGGGACCAGCCACCACCTCACTAAAATGGGACGGGCCACCTCCCCTACTAAACAGGGACAGCCACCATCCTCACTAAATAGGGACCAGCCACCACCCCTCACTAAAATGGGACGGGCCACCACCCTCACAATCAGGACCAGCCACCACACTCACTAAACAGGGACCAGCAACCACCCTCAATACACAGGACCAGCCACCGCCCTCACTAAATAGGGACCAGCAACCACCCACACTAAACAGGATCAGCCACCTCACTCAAACAGGACCAGCCACTATCCTCATAAACAGGGACCAGCCACCATCCTCACTAAACAGGACCAGCCACCACTCACTCAAACAGGACCAGCCACCATCCTCACTAAACAGGAGCCAGCTACCATCCCTCACTTAACAGGGACCAGCCACCACCCCATTTAACAGGAACCAGCCACCACCTCACTTAAGAGGAGCCAGCTACCATCCTCATTTAATAGGACCAGCCACCACCCTTACTTAACAGGAACCAGCCACCACCCTCACTTAAGAGGGAGCCAGCTACCATCCTCATTTAATAGGACCAGCCACCACCCTTACTTAACAGGAACCAGCAACCATCCTCACTTAACAGGAACCAGCCACCACCCTCACTAAATAGGGACCAGCCACCGCCCTCACTTAACAGGGACCGGCCACTACCCTCACTAAATAGGACCAGCCACCACCCTTACTAAACAGGAACCAGCCACCACCCCTCACTAAATAGGGACCAGACACCGCCCTCACTTAAAAGGGACCAGCCACTACCCTCACTTAATAGGAAACAGCCACCACCCTCACTAAAAAGGGGCTAGCCACCACCCTCACTTAACAGGGACCAGACAATCATCCTCACTAAACAGGGACCAGCTACCACCTTCATAAACAGGGACCAGCCACCACCCTCAGTAAACAGGGACCAGCCACCACCCTCACTAAATAGGGACCAGCCACTATCGTCACTAAACAGGGACAAGCCACCACCTTCACTAAACAGGGCCCAGGCACCACCCTCCTTAAACAGGGACCAGCTACCATCCTCTCTAAACAGGGAACAGCCACCACCCTCACTAGACAGGGACCAGCCACCTTAGCACGAGTTTTCTAGAAAGAGAATTTGTCATGATTCATGTTGTAATCTGTTCACTTTTTGTTTGGATCATGCATGCAAACTACCTTCCAAACACAAGTGCTAAGGTCCACTTACTCATGTAATATATCCAGCCATACAAACTGTAGTACATTACCTATTGTGCTATATGTTTGGTACAAAGCAAAGAAATAGTGAACAGACTTCATTCGAAAGCGAATTTCATCTTTGGCTTCGACATTTTATACTAAATATTAAAAAAATTCAAATATCCTCTCTGAAGTGTTAATGCCTTGAAATCATTTGCATTTTGACAGTTCAGGTATTTAACATTATTTTAAAGAATATGGGTCTGCTTACCAATTGTGAACAAATTTTGTTTGAATAAATGGACAGCTATACGAACCTTTTCTTTGAACCAATCAGCTATTTCTATAGAAGACGGGCATGGCTTACGGGCCAGGTTAGCATGGAAATACTTTAGTCATTAGTCTCTTGGAATTTTGGTCATTAAAACTTGCTTATATGACTATAATATTTCAGAAGTAATTCACATGACTCAAATTTCCACTTAAACTTTCCTGTGGTTGTTTTTAACTGTGAATGAAAACTTTTTTATTAAACGAAGAAGGGTTAACGTACACCCACGAAAAAATTATCCGGCACCCGTGTCATATTGTATCACGTCCAAAGGTGTGACGTGATCAGTGACATCATGTGCAACCTTCTCTATTTCTGCAGTAACAGGAGAATCTTGAAGACACTGTTTGAGAATAAATAATGGAAATAAAGAATTAATATTATGTAGCTCAGGGGGAAGGATTGACATCAGGAATAGATAGGAGAGATAATAAGTAGCCGCTAGTGGGTAGGTTTGAATACTTGGACTCAGTGTTGAAGACGGAGGAAGTTTGTGAAGAGGAAATGAGTAGCAGGGAGAGGGCGGAATGGAAGTCGTGGAAGAAGGTTGTATGTGACAGAAAAACAAAAGGAAATCGAAACCTAAGAGTATAAACAATAAAGTGAGAGTGATAAGGCAGAGATGGTTTGGTACAATGAGAGGAAAGGTGATCAAAAGGAAGGTAGACATTATGGTTGTGGGATTTAGTTGGGAGGGACATGTGACAGACTGGACTGAAAGTAGAGAAGGCTGATAGCACCTAATATTTGGGTATAGCTACAGGAAGAAGCTATTGTTATGGATTAAGATACGGTATAATAGTCAGCTATGGTGCAAATGTACTATAATAGTTCATTTTGTATAACTCTAGCCGGGATGTAAGAAAGTAAAAAAAGAAAATGTCTGAAAGTGGATATGTAAAAGGGTGACGTTCGTCAGGGGATGTGGCTTGACAACGTTTGGGGTCTATCTATGAATACTAGTTAATATGACATAAAACCCCAGTTGAAGGAGAAAAAACCATAGAATTCTTGTAAATCTTGGCCCAAGATATTAACACCTTTCGCAGCCACTATTCTTTTTAGTAGTATTTCAGCTTGTTATATACGAACTCAGTATGAACTAGAATGTACTATAGATTGTCTCCAGTCCAGGAAAATTATCAATCCATGTGTGTTAGCACGTTCTATCCTGCGGTAAATTAAACGTTCGCTTATTCGTGATTATTACATAATTCGGTATTATCAATAAGTTTTCATATAGATAATGTTAATGCTAATTAGCGGTAATTCACAGCCAGATCATGATTAGTAATTAAGTATGGTGTATTTCAAGCAGGAGACCAAAGCAGCCTGGCTGGAAATTAATTAGGGTGTGTCATACGGAGGCGAATTTTTTTTTTTTGAGTTTGAAAAATCGGCCCATGGTATTAATGATGTAGTTCTATGTGCAGAATCATGTGATATCTTCAGATTTGAAAAGTTTTCATTTTTTGCTAGGTAAATTTTAACTTGAAATCTTATGAAAATTCAGTATTCCCACC